CAGGCATACTGAGTGATATATACTCAGTGAGTAGTACTAGGTGAGTAGACCCTTTGACTAGCTGCTTCAAGGACACGGCATGACTGAACAAGTATTGGAGATCAGCTGTCAAACGTCGATAGTGTACAGAAGCAATCATTAAGACACCAATTCGATTCTGCTGAAATTCTCAAATATTCTCAAGCCGCTATCACACTGAACTTGTTGCCTTTCTTCCTAAGTTGAGGTGCACCACTGTCTAAGCGCAATGCTGGCGTGTCTGTGCTCGGCTGTGCCATCGCAATGGTGGCAGTTGGTGGTTGCGCACAGGTGCTGACTCAAGAGATCAGATGTCTTCAGTTTTTGGATGCCTGAGCAAACTCATGGCATCTCATTGCTGATGCACAAGTATTCAGTGGGTCATGTTAAGAGATCCAGCATCGCCCAGCATCGGTGCAAGTTAGAGTCTCGAAAGTCTGGAGTCAGAGTCAGTGTCCAATCCACTTATATAGTCCAAGCGCCAAGCTTAAACTGACGTTTTCAGGGCATCGGTCAGCTTTTCGCTGCATTGGTGGTGGGCATGGCACGCAACCCATCCATGAAGGAGGATCTGTTCACGTGCGCTAATCGTGCAGTTGTCATGGCTTTCCGAATCTGCTTTGCAATGCTTTCCGGATCAGGATGTTTCAAAATTGCATTTCACGGGATGTCCTGCTGGTTGCAAGAAGGACCAGACAGATTCCCGTCTTTGGCCTTTGCAGGTACACATTGATTGGGATGGGTTTCTTGGAGTTCTTGGCCATTGTCGTCATCCTCATTGCAGGCTGTTGCGGAAGAAGTTGCTGCCAGCTCATAAGCCAGATCGAGCCCCCCAAAATGGTGTTGCATTGTCATTGCTTCTTGCCATCCAGTCTAATGGTCAGGCCTGCTGCTGTACTCCGAATAAGGCCTGGCACAAAGCAGAGACAGACAGAATTTGTGCACAGTCCAGTTGCGATTTTAACGGCAAGGTGCTGGGCCACTGCACTTCACGGGCACCGTCCATATGAAATGCCAGGAGGCTTCTGAGCAAACGTGATTTGCATACGGTGATTCAAGTCTTAGTGGCTCATGCTATGCAGCATTCTTCCAAGCATGAAGTGAATCAAGTGGTTCTGTGGTTCTGTGGCTCTTTATAGCTTTAGATCTTTCAGCTGCAAAGCTTCGGGCAAATATGAGTTTTGTAGAAGAGCTTTCCGCAGTTCGCCACAACAAAAGAGCAAGCGCTTAAACGGCGTCTTAAAGACACGCGCTTCGACAGACACATTCTCACTTCGACAGCAGAGGCACACGTTCTCACGTGGTGACACTGCAATTGAAGCTTGTTTGCTCAGAGCAAAGTGCTACAGGATGTCACAGACAAATCTCTGACTTGACGATGTTCCTGGCTAGCAGTGGCAAACGATAAACACAGACACAACAGCACCTTTCTAATATTATCTCTTCTCATCTCTTCCCTTTCAGCACGCGGGTCAAAGAACCCTCCAGGCATCAATGCGGACGTATTGGTTGTCATGAATGGTGCTAAGCATGGCAAACACGTTGTGGTTCCACTCCATTCGCCATTCTTCAAACAATACAATAACATTAGAGCACATCAGCTTAGTAGGACGCTCTTGCTTTCTTTGCAATGCAGCGCAGGCTTGGCAGGCGAAGCAGTCAATCACGTTGCATCAAAGTTGAAGTGCACTCTGTTTTACAAACTTTTCCGACACTACTAGCTGCATGTTACATTGGATTTTGTTTAGATTCGATGCAATGACTTGACCTGTCACTAAGACGCGAGAGTGTTTATAAGGAGCGGATGCCAACAATTGGAGAACAACAGCAGACCTGGCCGAAATGCTGACAGCATGTATTTTCAGATTTTGGATCTCTTGTCTGAAACGGGTTCCTGTTATGCAGTTCTTTCTTTGGAGGCCAGAAAAGCGTGCTATTTTTAAGCGGATTGGGGCTACCCGGTGATAACGAACTGTTTCTGCAGTCACAAATTTCAGTACCTGCGATGTGCACTTCGACCACTTGTGCTGCTTCTTGTGCTGCTTCGACCACTTTGAACAGTGTAGTGGGTCCTCCGAGGGGTGGGTTCCCCGAAGGGGTAGATCTCAGCAGAACTGGTGGGTGTAACTTTATAACCCACTTAAGTTCAACACTTGTTGGTTTCTGATCATGCTTGATGTCGCGATGTCATGTGCAAGCATGCACCAGAGTTCAACGAGCCGAACGCATGTTTGATCGCTCTTGTGATATTGGAGGGTGTAATGTCTCGATGTGATGTCGTGAGTTGATATTGTTATTGGAGTTTGTTGACGTGATGTAATGCGATGCAACGTTGCATTGTCATTGCTCTTGACATATGTTGCGATATTGTGCTTTGATGTCATGTTGTCATTGGAGTCTGCCTATGTGATGCGGTGTTGTGTTCTGATTGACTGCTGTGGGTGCATTGTGGCCTGATGTCGCAAGGTGATGTTGTCACTCAATTTTATGTCGCTTTTCAGGTTGTGCGGTCCCCCATACTCAAAGCCGTGGCACACGACCAACCGCACGGAAGGCGACAGGTGTTAACTGCACAGTCTCCCCACGCGTGGGTGTGGCTCACGCTTGCTAGCGGCATCTTTGAAAGACGGAATCTCTACCTTTGAATTTGTTTCGCAAAGTCCTGCATGAGATGATGAAGAGCCAGGCATGCTTTACAACGGTACATGCAGCCTGCTGGAAGGGCCAGGCTATACGGCCTGTAAGGTACTATTGTGCATGATGGACCATGCGGCCATGCCTGTAACGAAATACCTTTTGATCGACCAACCTGTCGGTTCGCCTTGCGCAGGGTGACTTTGCTGCTGAATTGAGAAACTCCGGCGAGCCCCCAAAAGGGCTACCAATGAAACCTCAACTCATTAATTCGACCTATGTTCCTGGAATTCAAAGCATGCCTTGGTTGGAAAAGGCTTAGGGCTTAGGAATATGAGAATCCCAGATCCCTGAACAGTTGCCAGAAGTTTTGACCTCTCACGCGTTTGAGGATTTGACAATGTCTTCGGAATCCACGATGGAACCACTCCACGCATGATGATTCTCCGCATCTCTGACAATGGTTTTAAATCCTTTGACTCCGTTCCCTAATGTCACTGCGATGCGAAGCTACCACCTGAACACAGCGCACCTTGCTGACGAGCACAGAGACTGCGGGACAGCGTTTCACAGTTGCCGTCCTAAACACACACAATACCGACATAGGCACTGAGGCTCTGGGTTTGAACCCGCTAGGAATCCGCCCCTTCCCACAGAGTGTGCACTGATCCACTCGACAGACTTGTCCACAATGTCTCGTAGCTTCAAACCCAAAACGGCAGGAACTTGAAAGACCCGTTTCTGATGAGATGTCAGACTTCGTTTGTTCTTGTACAAATATTGTGAGCAAAGTAGGCAGAAGGTGTCCCTCTTGGCGCAGTTTTGTTGGGGAATGGAATCAGCGGATTCACAACCCAGGGATGCAGAAGCTTCCAAATGCCCGTTTAGAAAAACCATGCACCTGCAAAGCGACATGGCTGATGCAGTTAGCAGCAGTAGTAGCAGTAGCAGTAGCCATAGTCGTAGTCGTAGTAGTAGTAGGAGGAGGAGGAGGAGGAAGAGGAGGAGGAGGAGGAGCAGCAGCAGCAGCAGCAGCAGTAGGAGTAAGTAGGAGGAAGTAGGAGGAAGTCACGAAAGGTAGCGGTTACGCTACCTGAGTTTTCCTTTTGCTTTAGCAAAAATGAATTATGACCAGCGTGGACACCCATCTCACTGAGAAATCGCCTCCGACATTTACTTTTAAGGGCCGAGGGGGGTGAGGGGTAAGTTCCCCCAGAAGTGGCAGTAGCTTTACTGGACCTGATCGAATACACCAAGTGAGGCCAGAAAGACAAGTGAGTGTGCAAGCGTCAGCGATGCACACCTTTTCTATGGCAGCGAAGTGCAGGTATCGGGCTTCAAAGTCTTGAGCCAAATGAATTACAGCGAAAGCCTACTGAAGAGGTATATACAGAATCTATCTACGAAGAACAGGTGCTACACACGTATAGCGTAGACACGCCCAGGGGGACCTAGGACCCTACAAACACAAAACAGACACAAATTTTCTTTTCGTGTCGAAGCTTACGATCGCTAAAGTACAAAAGCTTGCATGAGCAAAAGAGTGCAAGTGAATTACAAGAGTTCTGGCTTCGCAGAACTGGACCGTAGATGCCTTTCTGGCTCATCTATGTTGCGTCAGATATTCTATACAAATCTACGAAAGGCAAATCTATGCTGTCAAAAGTTCCGGAATATCGGAAGTTTCTCAAAGCATTTCAAGTCATTAAATCTTAAATCAAGTCATTAAAGGCGTTAAGCTCTCAAGCTATTTTGGGTCATTACATCATGCAACTTAGGCAGTTCACCAGCCGGTATATCGGCTTCTTGCAGACTCAGGTCACCAGTTACGATAGCCTCTATATCCGGAACTCCAGGAGTAGCCGGATTGCCACCAGGACGAGCTGTCGTCCCACCAAGACGAGCTTGCGCTGGACCATCTGTCCTGGTTTGCGCTGGACCAATTGTCCTGTCGTTGCTGACGTTTCTGCTGCTTCAAGCGCTCCACTCGTTCTATCTGCTTCTCCGCACGGTGGGCTGCAGAGGCTTCGCCGCGCACTCGAACCTTATAACGACTTCCTAGCGAGAAGTTGCATTGAAAAGGATGATGATAGGCTTCATCGCTAGACTTAAAACAAAGGTCCAAATGGTTGAGGTGCTTCAGAAGCTCATTTGTCTTAATGATCGTTCCTTATGTCGAGGCGGGCCCTCGTAACCGACTCTGCCACGGTCTTCCGGAATATCGGATGACCTGCTCCGCAACGTGCGCATGTCCTTGTTGTAATTAAGGACGATCTGCAGCAAGCAGTCGCAATCGGCATCCTGACCTTCCAAAGCGGCGAGCTGCTCAGTGGCGAGGGTTGAGACCTCCCAGTTGTAAGTGATCCGCTTGCTCGGCTCGCGCTTCTTGTTCGCTGAAACAAGGATCTGGTCAAGGATAGTAAGGACAGCCCCGGTTGCCGGATCGGCGTGTCGATCGGACCGGCAGTTGCTGTTCGTGAACTGATTTGCATCACACGCGATGACGTCCACCTGGTCTGCCACGGCCGTGATCAAAATCTTTGTCAAGGCATTCTTGCCGGCCGTGATACCTGACTGAAAGGCATGGGCGTTGAGATGAAAGGCGCAAACTCGCAATTCAGGCATGTGCATACGTTTGCAGTTGTCCAAGCTTCCCGCCCGGTATATCGGACACTCGTGGAACAATGCCTCAGCATCTACCGGTTCAGCCAAAACGAAAGTGGTGGATGCTTGTGCAACGCCAAGGACATCAGGGCAGACCATTGCCTCCATATTTGATGCTGGATCGGCGCCCTCTTCGAGGGCTGCTCGGAGGTTCTTTCTGACTCCTCTGTCATCGGTGATGCCGCCGTGAGTCGTTTCTTCGACCTTTCCCCAAAGCACGCGGAATGTCGCGGCATGGGCTACCCAAACAAGACGATCCCCTTCGAGCTCGATTCGGCGGATTAGTTAGTTCCAATCTCGACGTCGAACCGTCGGTAGAACAAATGCAGGCGATGGAGGGTGACTCGCCATCGGATAAGCGACGACACACATGCGCTGGTATTGATTGAAAAGTTCACGGTGTCGATCAATGCCATCCGCCTCCAATAGGATCGTAATGTATGCCGTGTTTCGGACTAAGTAGTGTGGCAAAACGGCATACTGATCCGAATCTGCGAGCTCCTTGGGCAGAGGCTGCTTGCCGTTAAAATGGAGCAATCGATTGATATCGCCAAGGTTGAGCAGCAAGACACTGACGTGTTCTGTCGAGCGAAGAAGTCTTGCCTCATTGATGTCAAAATCGCCTTGATTGGCGCGATAGCCCTGCATATACGAACGGCTTAATTCTACGATCTGTCGCATCTCGTCGCCGTCATACCGGCGTTTCGAGTCGTAGTAGCAGCTTGGTTGAATGATCGGGTACGGCGCTATGTCAAACTGCCTGTCCCAATGCTGAGCAACTGAGGGGATGAAGAAGGTCGGATATGTTGGATGATTCGAATAGTGGAATTTCCGAGCTCCTTCAAGGATAATGCGATCCATTGCAGCATATCCTGT